TTTTTGCATAGAAGTTATTTTTATGCTATTGGCTGATATACCCAAGGAGGTTCATCCCTCATTTTACATTCATTCATAATAAGGTTATGATTGACATTGAACTTACAAATGATATGCCCAAGGAGGATCATCCCTCACTCATAATTACCCCTCATTTTACATTCATTCATAATAAGGTTATGATTGACATTGAACTTACAAATAAGATGCTAAGAAATTTTAAATATTCATCTTCTCGTAAGGATTTTTAGCTAAATTGAACCTTCAAATGGCTTTTGATTGTGTTAGTTTGCATTCTTTCTCACAATAATTGATTCACAATGTTATCCCTCATAAGTTTGTAAATTGCATACATTTTCTCAGCTATGATTAATGGTGAGTTAAAAGGGCATTTTATAGGTTGCAATGGCCTTAGACAAGGTTCTGTTCTTTCTCATATTCTCTTTATACATATGACGAGCAATCTATTCAATATGATTCAATTTAATTATCTACTTGGTAGATATGATGTCATCAATACTCATAATGAAACCATTGCTCATCTTTTTATGATGATAATCTTTTTCTCTTTCATCAAGCTAATCATTTGAACATTCATTACCTGAAGGATATACTCATATTATTTACAGTTATTTTAAGGTTGAAGAATAATGTATATGAGTTTGTCATTATTTTTTCTAATAATGTTGATGCAAATCTTAATGATTTGCTCTCTTCCTCTATTAGGGTTACTTGCTCTAATTTGTCGTAGAATTATCTTAAAGTTGCTTATCGAATTACAAATTGAATGTTATGAATTGCATTTATATTATAAATGAATTGAAAATTTGGCCTAGTGGTTGGAAGCAAAAGCTTCTACCATTTGCAAGTTGATTGCAATATATTAAATCAACTAGTTGGTGTTATATAAGGGATTGATTTACATTCACTAGTATCTCCAAAAGGTCTCACAAGCAAAAGTACTTATATGATTTTAATATTTCTATATGAAATGGCTCAAAAAAAGTACATCATTTCCTAGTTTACCATCACTCTCCCTAAATCAAGGGGAGGAAAATTTCTCTACTCTCTACAAGTTATGTACACAGCTTACAAAACTAAAATGGTCGGCTAATTTATCAATCTTAATTTTATTTAGACATAATTTTCTAATTACTATCCTTATGGCTCCCCTTTATTGAAATCGTCACTATTTGTTGCTAACATGATTTAGAGGCAGTTGTTCTTTCAGATAAGTAGGAATTTGACCTTTTCTCTTTATTTTTTTGAAACTCTAATACAAATACAATGGATGACCAAGATATGAATCACATTGGTCAGCCATATAAAGTTAATGTGCGCGTTCTATTTTCTTATGACTTGTGGCTTTTATTGGCTACAAATTATGTTGAGATCTCCAATTGTTTCAATGATATTTAAATTATAACTATTAACTCTCAAAAGTATATCTTATCATAATATTGAAAATAATCATTTGTAGCCCATAAGCTTTATTCAATGTTATATGATTATATTGCAGATGCTAAATGATATAACAATCTTATTTAGTTTCAAGGTAATAACATTAAATTTGCTTATTTTGTTGGAAAAGTATACATTAAGTGCTCAATATAAAGGATGAGTTGATAAATAGAAGCATAATTTGTTAACATCAAATTTAATCTTTGCTCTAAACAAAATGAGAATCACACTTAAACTTTCAAATTTATTAACCTTGGATTAACCTTTGATGTTTCTTCTTTCTATTCAATCGCTCTCTTTCCCAAATTCAAAATCATGTTCTCTCTCATTTTCACAGATTCTTTGAAAGGTACTATATTTTTGCTTGTCATATTGCTTCTTATAGTTTCTAGTTCGAGAGAAATAAGATTCAATTAGATGATTATTCCTCTTTAAATTGTAAATATGCAAACATTAAATATTGCATTCAAATGAAATATAAAACATATAAATTTGAGAATTGTTGCTAATAGAAATTTCATCACTTTATTATGATATCTAACTTCTCACTTTTATCTATGAACTGTGATGTTAACTCCAACACATGAGGTTTGACACAACTAGCATGTATTTTGTTGTCACTATTTTTTATTGCATATATTATACTGATCATGTCTCATGGTTGTGGTGGAACCATTGAGTGACACTTCTTCAATTTGATTAAGACATGTTGTTTTGTGTTTTCTAGCACTTTTCCAATTTTATAGTTTCTACTAGATTGGTTTTTCGCTTGGTTGGTTTCTCCGCTACTTGAAATACTTTTCTCTTTATCTTACCACAATAACTCTTTTGAAATTTTTTAACTGCTAAATTTTCTAAACAACATTAAAAAAAACTAAATTTTACTTCTTATATACAGAAATCTCAAATTCTAGGGTGGGCAGTTGCTCACCTTGTACAAAACATGCTTTGTCCCTTGCTTGTTCCTAAATTTTTTTCTTAAACTTAAATTTATAAGCATGCGCATTGAAGTTGAATAACACTTACAAATGCTTAAGAAAATAAAAAAAAAAATTAATTAATTCATAATAAGAGAAGAAAATTTATCACATAAATATCATAGATTGTTCATATGTTTCAACAATCATTGATCTTGACAAAAACAATCTACAAGGCTAACCAACAATGGAAGAAATGATATAGCTCTTTATCACATATGACATGCTTCTTTTTATTTCACATTAATATCAATTATCTAGAAGTAATTGGTTTGCCTATAGCTATAAGAAATATATGGCATTGCCTTAATTTTGAAAATAATTAACCATTTAAACTATAACAATAATGTATTTTTAAAGTTTAGAAAAAGATGCCTTCTAGATTTATTTTATTTTAATTTAGTTACAATTTATAAGAAAATGCTATAACATTATAGATGATACACAACTTTAATTTTAATCATAGTTTTATAGCATAATTAAAATTTAATATTTATTCATGGAAGTAAATAGTGTTGATTATTTTTAAGTATGGGATGCATAACTAAAATGCAATATTTAGTCATCTTTAAATTTCACCCTTGAATATTTGATGCATAATTTTATGACTATGATTATCACACATATGATGAATGCTTCATCATGTGGTATTTTTAGCTCATTGTGCTACATCAATTACTCTCCACTTGATGAACTCTCATGTAGAATCAAACTTTGTTATAAAAAAAACTATGAAAGTATCATCCATGCCAATTTTCTTAATGTGATTGGTGTGATGTTGAATGAATTAGATGTAAATTGTTCTACTTAAAGAAATTATGATGGCTCGAGTGTTAGAAATGCAAGAGTGGTGAATTGAAATAGAGTGGATATAAGTAAGGTACTACAAAGAAAATGGTCTGTTTCCATGAGATTCTCACTAAAGCATATCAATAATATTAGAATATAACTATAAGATATTGTGACCTCATCAAAGGATAACAAAATTTATAATCTCATCATCAGAGCACTTGGGAAAGAAATGTTATGAAATTGTTCTTTAAAAGTATAATATGAACTTTTGCCTTTGATAGAAGAAATGAAAAGAATGTAGTGTAAGTATTGTATAAACTTTTGCATTTAATATAAAAAAAGAAGGGGCATATAGTAGAGAGTTTGTAAATATGAAAGCATACATCTTCATGTGTGTGTATAGGATTACGTGAGAATAAGAATGAAGGTGATATTAGAGTAAGCTATTGTATGTGAATCATTTGTCGTTATGGGCCAATGATAGGGTAAATGGGCTTAGCTCTTATTGCAGCTAATGGATCTTTGAAAAATTGCATGATTTATTCCCCATCGCCAGGTGCGACTCACACAATCTTCTACCTAGAAAGCCCACCGAGACTACTGGGTAGATTGACTTGTCAGACTATCATGTCGAATTTACATGCCAAAGTGACTTACCTATACTGCTTTAAGTGTCAAAGTGTCATTTGTCACTTTCCCGGGAGTCAAGATGTGCTTCTCAAACCAGTCCACTTCAGTTGTCCAGTCGGTTTTCCTTAGTATTTTGACAAATTATTGAAGTAAAAATGCAGCCACTCTTTTCTTCTACACATTTCTTACAATTGTCTCTTTCGAGTTGTATGTGTGTGTGTGCGCGTGCGTGCTTATAGTTTTTAAATTCAAAAGTATCAGAGGGGGGTGGTGTTAAATGATAAAGGCACACAATTTTGAACGAAGTGCAGCCTTAATGTGTGGAAGAATGAATTCAGGTGATTATATACTTTTCGAGCATTTTAATTGGTCTTCTTTGGGCTTGATTTGCATGGGAAAACTAAAAATGTATATGATTTGTATCCACAAATCAGCTTTAAGCATTGCATGTGTGCATTTGATCATATTCTTGGTTTTGATAAGGTTAGCTATTGGATATTGATCATCAACTCATAGGTTAAGCAATAAGAAATTACACATTATAATCATTACTACATTGTTAATTAAAAAAAATAAAAAATAATCCAATATATATTGACAATTATTCCTTGAAGCATTGCAATTCTCCTTCACATGCTGCCATTAATTTGATTATTGTAACTTATTAATTTATGAAATAGCCTATACATGACAAGTTTAGTTGATACTATGTTTTACTTTAATATTTTCATGAAATTCAAGGACTATTTTGAACAAAGCCAATCAACCATTACTATTAAATGAACATACTTTATTATTGTAACTTATTAAAAAAAAATTGTTTTGCATAAATGAAATTAGAGAAGGCAGCTTTAAACACCCCATTAGAAAAACAAATGGGAAATTTATAAACAAACCACACACTTCGTGCATATTTACATTTCTAATATCTAAATTTTTATATTCATAAATATTACATCGGTGTCATTAATGTATGCATGAAAATAAGTATTTCAATTAAAAAAAATAAGTAAATTGATATTTTTTATATAAATTTAAATATTAGAGTACCATACATTTAAATAAGTATAAATTTAAAATATAAATATTGGGTATGTAAATACAGAAGATTTACGGGCTAAGAAAGTAAATGAGAAAAAAATGAACTTTTTCTGACCGTGCTCTAAAAATTTTTCGCACAGCAGAGATGAGTGGGAGCAACTTGAACTCCGTGTTCTACGCCGACTCTTACCATCCAATACAGGCCGGAAGCATCGACGGCACAGATATTGTCCCTCACGACAACGGCGTCTACAGAGCCGTCCTCTGCTCCGCCGCTGGCCTATGTGAGCTGAGTTCCCCTGCTATTTTGGCTTGCGCCGTTCTGTCTCCTACTTTAACTTATTCAATCAGAGTTTTTTTTTTTTTTTGGGATGTTTTTTTTTTGACTTTAGATGACCCATTTGGTGATCCCAAGGTTACCGGCGATGCCTACTGCACCCTCTTCGTTGCCCGGCTTTCTCGTCAGACAAGCGAAGCAACGCTTCGAAAGGTGCCATTTTGATATTGGGTTCGCCAGAAAGGTTACAATTTTCTCATTTATGATGTCGGATTTGTTTGGGATTTATTCTTTTGTGCTGTTTTTGAAGGCCATGAGCGCTTATGGAAGGGTAAAGAACATTCGATTGGTTCGGGATATCGGTAGGTATTTCGTTTTCAGAATGACTTTTTTTCTTTGGAGTGCTGAATTGAGCATTACTTAGAGTGGCTGATCTTCTTGTTGTCATATAATTCGTTGATTTTGCTTTGTGATGTATTTGTTTTGATAAGTCCTGTTTTATCTCCATTGTTGATTAAGTCCATGTTTTCTTAAATCCAACCATTCATGACATTTTTTTTTTGGATTTTAATGAGTGTTTAGGATATCCTGCTTGTGTTACATCTTCTTTGTAGCCAAGCAGCCCCAAATCCTCATTCTCTATTTAGCTCTTAGCTGCACATTTTGTTTTAAACCCGTTCTTTATATTATTTTTCACATAACCTCTATTCATAACATCTCTAATCTACCAGTTATCCTCCTAAGTCTACAACACTAATTTATCTATCTTATCAGTGGATTCTCTACTTTTTGTTTTGCCCACCTGTCGATTTTCTCAAGGGAAAGTTAGCATCGGAGATGAATGGCAATCTAATGTAGTGGACATTGTTTGCATGACTTCATGGTACCTACTAAAAACTTTTCTTAGTCATAAATTGCATGGTTCTCCCAAGAGAGAGTGAGTATATTTTGGCAACTTTGAGGATAGCCAAAGTGGTTGCTTTTGTGCTTTATCATTTTGAATTTATTCTCCTCACAAAGAGTTGCATTTCTCGTATTTTAGTTTTTGGTTGCAGGATGTATTTTTGGAGCTTAAAGAAAAAGCAATGCATCATGCAATCTTGTCTTTTTTATCTCTCTAGAAGGAAGAAATGTGTGATTGGTAGTTTCCTTTGGTGCACCATGAGGGCTTTTTGTTGGAATTTTTTGGCATTAAAAGTTACTTGATCAGATAAAATACTGCTTCTTAGAATATCAAACATGCAAGTTGACACAATTGAACTTAGTGAAGATGGTTTTAGTTTAATCTTTGGAGAAAAAAAATTTTTTCCTCAAATTTAGAGTGTTTGGATGTAAAATAATTAGCAAACTGAATAAGCTTCTATCTTATATCTGGCATCGAATGCTAAAATTGCTTTGTTGGTCAAACCTTCTATGCTAATGGGGATGTTGCTCAAATTTAGATTTCTTGGATAATGCATGTTGTAATATGTACATAGTTTTGCATTTTTCTTTCGCTAACTTGAATGCTGGTGTAAATGAGCTGAGCTTGAGCAAGTTTGCTATGTGTTTGTGTTTGACTCATTAGAATTTGAACCGAGGAGATATAATTGTTCTAATTAGTAGCAAATATATACAATTTGTGTGTGTGCACGCGCGCGAGCCCTGACTCATTGGTGGTGGCCTTGCCATAAGACCCTCGGGTTGGTTCGAATCCTAGCCATTTAGGGAGGATTCGAATAGCACACAAACTGGAAGGAGGGTCCACCTCTCTGTCAGTCCAACCTATACGGGTTGATTGGCGGTCTCCGACCATCGATCAATCTTAAAACAAATAATAATATTATATATATATATATATATTTATGTATAAGTTTAAATCATAACACCTCATTTGGCAATGTGGTTAGTGTTTTCTTTTGTATATATTTGATCCAGGTTCGAATCTCATACTTTACATCT